TGAAGGTACCGGCACCGCCGGCTGTGCGCGGGGCCCGGGGACGGACGGTCCTGCCCGCGCCCGGGCGCGGGGATGCTGGGACACAGAACACATCTCCCTTTACTGCTCCTCGGGCAGAAAAACGGTGGACCAAAAAACTCACGCCTAGGGCAGTCGGGCCTGCGGGGTTCGGTGTCTGGTGGCGCGGTGGTTTCCCCTTTAGTGCCTTTTGAGGTTATCGGCGTAGGAAGGGCAGATACCGCCTTGCCGGATTCCCCTGAGCTCCAAAAACCCTCTCTGCTTCTCCCGGCCGAGGCCTGCAAGGCGGCTGAGTTTGACACGAACTGAAAGTAACCGCCCGTGCGCTAGGCAGGAGGATGTCACCGCGACCAGGCTGCGGGGCTTTTAACAGGGCCCTTCCCTGCGGGGCCGGCGGTGGAGCGAAGGGCACGCAGCCCTTGCCGGTGTTCTTCCTTGTCCGGCGAATGAGCTTTCGTTTGCAGAGTGGTAGGGCTGGGATCCTCAGCTGTTTGTGCGCGTGTCTCGCGTCCCTCGGGGAATGCGGAGTGCTGCAGTCGCCCTCTGTTTGTCCCGAAGATCAAGATCTGCCTCTGAGCTTTCTCGGGTCATGCTCTGGGCCAGCCCGCAGCTGGGGGAGATGCCCAGGCTGTGTCAGAGCTAACTCTAGGGTACAAGCACGGTGGTCTGGGGTGGTGCTAAGATGGAGGTAACGTTACCCAGGTTCCCTTCTGTCACCTGCAGCAGTCTGGCAGCTCCCGATGCTGCTGCTCTGGCTGTTCCCCTCTCTAGCAGGTATTTTACTGCATGTGGCAAAATTCCCCGTGCAGGCGGTACAAAGGGTAACCGCTGAAAGAAACCGCCCAGCCAACATAACTGTTAATTGTGGCTTTATTTGCCTTGTGCTATTAACCTTCTGGTTAATACGGCCAGTCTGGTACCGTTTAGGTCTCTGATCCTTCCAGCTGTAGGAAATGAGTGGGCAAAGCCGGGGGCGAGCACAGGTCCTGGAGGGAATGGGGTGTTCCTGCCAGCAGGAGATGGGACTCGGACCCGGCAGCTTTATCCTGACCCAGCATCAGCCTCCCAGGGCCAGCTCTGCCTCAGTGCCAGCCTGTCTGCGGGCACCAGCGTGCAGCAACCCTGTAAACGAGGTGATCGTTAAAGGGAAGAGGAATACAGCTTGTAATGGGGTATAGTTGACAACAACGTAATGCAAAAAAACTTCCTCATGAATTCTTCTGGGCAACACATCTCAGGAGGGGTGGTTGTGAATGGAATGTTTTAAGTAATGAAAACCATACTAAAGAACGCGCTGATGGGACTAATTCTGCATAGCTAGAAGGGATAGAATAGTATATTAAGTATCTAATAAATAAATTATGCTATATTATTTATTCTAACTTCTGCAATCCCCTAATTCAGCTCTAAGATGCCTACTGTAAGGTTTGACTCTTTGCTTAATTCTTCCAGAGGAAGATGTAGATGGAGCATCTGCTGAATCCCAAAGCAGCTTCAAGGAAGACAGCTGTCCTCTGCCCAGGGCCCAGATTCGATTTCCACTGTGGTCTGCTAGCACTTCTTCTGCAGCTCTTAAAAGTAAAACCTCATCTGCAAGAACCGGCCAGCTTAGTACGATGGGTACCACCACCCGAGTATTTAATAGTGGTGGGGGGAAAAATCTATGGTGTTTCATACCAGGACACTAACAACTGGCACTGCTGAGGAACGGTTCTGTTCTGGGTCATTTTGGGAAAAAGCATGGCAGGCCATGGCAATAGTTAGCTGGAAAGTTCAAAGTGCCATGCAAGAGGAGGTGACACCGTTCAACAGAGGCTTGTCCTCGCTCTGACTCAATGCCCAAGTTTGCCGAGGTGCTGACAGTGTGCTCTTAGCAAAGAGATGAGAGACAGTCTCTTCCTTTCTGCTGATTGAGGTGTTGCTCTGCCAGGTGTAAGGTCTTCCACCAGCACAACCTGAATTTCAAAACGTAGCACTGTGGCTGGTGTTGTACCTAAAAGGGAGGAAAGCCTTACACCGTGGGGGGTTGAAGTTTGGCAAAGATGCTAGAGGTGTATGCGGACACCAGCAAAAACTACTAATGTGAGCAGGGCATTAGCTGTGCTTACCGTTCTGTTAGCTCGGGGACAACAGAGAAATTTGTCCCTCTTTCTTTCCTTCTGCAATGTCATAACCTAAGTCATATTTTTACTGAAGAAAATCTAACGGCTAAAGGAAGAGAAGGTTTTCCACTCTTTTCAGGAAAGAAGTGTTATGTCCTTGGCATGAGGTTGTTTTGGTATTCCCCCCCTTAGAGTCTGGGACAGTCGCCCTCCCATGCTGGTGATCGCTGTAGATAGAGGTGGAGGAGGTAAAGTATCTTGTGTTTGTAAAAACTGTCACGCTGCGTCCCCACTGAGCTCACCCAGGGTCTCCCCTGGCCCCTCTGACCACCTGATTTTTCCAGCTGTGAAGAGCCCTCGCTACCCTTCAGGGCCGTGGTGAGTGGGAAGAGTTGTCATTCTCTGCCCTCAGACCCCGCTGGTGTGAACTGTCCTGCGAGACCCTGGGTGTTCTCAGCATTTTCCTTCGAATGGTACAGTACCAAAGGGATTAGCAGAAGGGTCAGATTAAGGTCAACCACCTCTTGCAGGGCGTCACCAACAGCAGTACTGTTAACAGCCACCAAAGCTCAAGCACTTACAAGGCTGTAAACTCCCCTGTCTTCTAGGTGGTCAACCACCAGCAATGTGCTTCTGGCCCCGAAACACTGAGTGCCGCATCCAGGAGGGTCCTGATGCAGAGGACAACTCGCCCATTATGTCCTTAGCCGATCAAGATGTCACCGTCGTTCCTGCATCTCTCCAGTCACCCTCTAACATCAACCAATCCAAGGACTTCATTCGCTGCCTGCCACCTCACCTCTCCCTGTACATCCTGGGTAAAGCCGCTCTGATTTTCCAAGGGTGGTTTACCCTACGGGTAGTGAATGGTCTCTAGTGTGGATAGGGGTTAGCCAATCTGTCCCTTTAATTTCCCAGGGCTTTTGGATCAAAAATCCCTCGGTGCGTGTGCTGCTGTGTCTAGATGCTGGGCTTTTCTGGCCAAGGAAGTCAAGAGGGAACGCGTGTGTCAAGGCATAGTACAGGAGAAGATCCTGTATTTGCAGGTATGATGCCTGGGAAGCCCAGCCATTATTATGCACTTTAAAAAGAAGGTGTTTTTCTGCTACTGCCCAAGCCATTAGATGGAGATGCTTTTACTAGAGGCTACCTCCCAGCTTTGCCCTGTTCCTTCTTCCTCCATCTGCAGAGCTAAGCCAGGTTAGATGTTCATACGGTCACAAGTAAGCACAACGGGATAGCTTTTACTGACCTTTAGAAAGCTGGTGACTCTAAAAATGGATCGAAACATTCTTGTAATCAAGAAAGCAGAGTTTGGTCACAAATGCAAATATTGGACTTCCAGGAGCTAGTGGAAATCGGGCAGAGCTCCAGTGGCTCCCTGAGGCAGCTCAAAAATGAGCTGTATTTGCTCCCCAGGGGAAGATGGAAAAGCTAGGTTTCTTTGCGAGAAGTCAGAGCTGGTGGTTGGGACACAGTAAACCACAACTTCTAGGAAAGGCTTGTCCTCGTTAGTGCAGACCTGCCATACACCAAGCTAAAGGTAAATCCCCAAAGAGATAGTTAGGAGTCTTTGCATGCTTCGATTTGTGAAGAGAGCATAGAAATCTCAGCTCTGTGCTAGCATCCAAAAAGGAAGGCTTAATGGAAGGTTTCACACATAAAAAATGAATCTTAAATATTGATAAAGATGTTTTGAGAGCCTCCCTTCTCAGTGGGTCTGGATTCTGAATCAACTGAGTGCTCACCAAAGATGAGATGCACTTTGAAATTTTGCAGTTTATTAAAAGCTTAAGATTAGAGCTTGGAAAAAAATAAAGCAATTATTTTTCACAAGAAGTTAAATCTTATACTGACAAAGTGGTAAATGCAAGCCAGGTCCCTTAGACTATAACAACGAGCCAGCGTGTGCAGCTCAGCTTTGCATCCCATGGAGATGCTGAAGCATCAGCACATGAGCAGCATCCTTTGGGTGCACGGGCTCTGCAGTAACTGTGTTGCCTCTACTGGTTTATTCCAGGGGTTGTGCCCTAGAGGAGCAGTTTCCAACTATGCTAAAGAAGTCGATGTGACAATTCCGCAGTTAAATGAAGAGGGTGATGTCATCGAAGTGAAAGGCCACAATGGGGGAAGTAAAACGAAGGTATGTTGGAAGTTGCTTGCCTTCCATGGATCCTGCATTTCAGTATTTGGGGAGAAAGGAGGACATGGTGGTCAGTGGACAGTGAACTCGGAGCTGCTTTGCTCTTCTCCCAGTCCTGCTTCTGGCTTGCACGGTCGTGAGCAATTTGTAAGGACCGATGCTTGCTCAGCCCCTTCTTGCACGGGAGGGAGCCTGCATCCCTGAACTCCTGGCTTGACCCACTGCGTCCCCCGAGTCGCGTGAACAGCCTTGAGGCCAGAGGTGCTGGCAAGGCTGGGCAGCATCACGAGGGCATGGCCTTTTTCCCAAAGGATAAAGGGTGCAGCTGTCAGGTCTTCCACTTTTGCCATGGAACATGGCACGGGAACTACCCTCATTTCTGCACTAACCAGGAGGTTCCTGCACTCCGGGTGTTCCTTACCAGCACTTTCTGTGTCTGTTGGACTCATCGCTATAGTGGGGACCAAGCTGATACATTTACTAGTGTGGAATAATGCTGCATTCCCCCTCCCTGACTTGTATTTCCCTATTTCTCTTTCCATCAGGAGGAGGAAGACAATCTGCAGGCAGCCTATCATGATCTGCAAACTGACACGATTCAGTTGGAAGAGAGAAATGTCTTCTGTGGCTCCTACAATACTCGTGTCCTCACAGATCAGTGAGTAGACTGCCCGGCTGTAGGGCCAAACAGTGGCTTCCAAAAACCTATCCCGTTCCTCGCAATCCTCCTGTGGGAATGTATGGCTGGAGAAGGGTCTCTCAGCATCAGTGTTAAGAAGTCCTCGGTGTCAAATCCAGTTATTTATAAAGACACCAAGGTAAGTTATTTTTAAAGACATAAGGGTTAGCGATCCACAGTGTACCACAAGGGATATGGGGCCGGGAGGAGCCCTCTCCCCTCCTTAAGCTTACCCTCCAGATGCAAACGTGGCTATGCAGAACTAGGGACCGTGGTTGTGGTGCCCTGCAAAGGATTCACCCGCTTAAGCGTATTGCCCATCAGGTTGCTCAATGAGGACCATTAAGCGTCAGAGAATGCCTGCCAGTGTTAGACCTGTGGTACCTCGCTAGCTGGCTAAAGCTCACCTCAGTCGCTGTTTCTTATCCAGATCAGACCGGAGCAGAGTAATCCATTACAGCGGTGGAAACTTGGTAGCCATTGGCTCCGCAGACCGAAAAGTGAGGTTTCTTGGTACGTCGGGAATGAAAGAAGTGCCTCCTCTGCTTTCTGGCCATGCTGGGAGCATCAAAGCACTCTTCCTCAATGAGAAGAAGGGGTTCGTTCTCAGTGCAAGCTTTGATCTCAGCATCAGGTGAGCAGCACGGGGGCTGTGCCCTGGGATACCAGCCCCTCGGCAAATCTAGGAACAATGAAACTAATCCTTCCACCCCAGGAATCCTCCTTCCCATCACTTTCATTAGAGTAGTGAAGGACAGTAGATAAGGAAACACATTCCCTGCTCACACAGGACAGCTTCTGTTGCCCAGTTTCACCCAGTACTGAATGATAAAATGGGAAGGTAAGTGATGCTCAGGTTTTCCTAAAGCATCTTAAGACACCAGATATGTTTCCGTAGGCCCTTGCAGTGAGATCCCAGCCTTGCTAAGGTCAGCATCGAGTTCAGAGAGGCTGGGTTTCTCCGTGACATTTTCGAAGGCTTGTTGTGCTAAGCAGGCTCAACACCCTGGTGCGTGCTGTACGGCTGCTCCTTTCCAGGTACTGCACCCTGAAACAAGGGGTGGAGATCAGCTCTTACATCTCATTTATCACTAAATCTCGAAAGTATCACGATGAGGGGTGAAAAGCAGGTTGCCTGGCTCTGGTATGGCAATCGCACAACTTCATCAAAGGCAGCATTTAACAAAAAGGGAGTTTATACCGACTCAGGCTCTCCCCTCCCTGCTCTTCCCACTCCAGAAGGGCTGTTTGTTTATGTGCAGGCTTGAGTTCTCTAGGTAAAGTCAACAGAAATCATCTTGGCACTGGTCAGTAAAGAAACAACCTTATCTGTAAAGCTCTACGTTTTAAGGTTAATTGCAGGTAACCATGCCAAAGGTGAAATCTAGCCACATGTTTCCAGGCAGTTTGGAGGTAGAAAAACAAAGTATATGGGTAAAAATTTAATACTAAGCCTGACGTGATAGTTCCAAATCCTCCGACACCTTAGTGGGATGACTCCTGATTTTAACCTAGTGTATGCGGGAGACGAGCCGGGCCTGTTAAGTAGGAAATAATGAATAAGATGAATAAGCCATCAGTTAAGTTAATCACTGTATTCCCTTTTCGGTTGGTCCTTTGTAGATGCTGGAATATATACAGCGGTGCTTGTGTGAAAATCTTTAATGGTCACTGTGGGACAATCACCTGCTTGGATTTACATGAAAAGGAGTTTGTGTCGGGAGCCAGGGATGGGATGGTGAAAGGTGAGAGCCGAGACCAGCAGCTTCCCAGACAAAGGGAAATAGTAGCCAGCAATGGGCAGAGTACTTGAGAGTTGTGACGGGTGTGACACATGCAGTGTGTGAGTATGAAAGGAAGTCTACAAATCGGAGGGTGAATTTTAGTGTCTCCTATTTTTGCTTCCAGAACAGCCTAAGCTGTGGACACATGCACACACAGGTCTCTGCGTCACTGAATAAATTCTCATTATTTCTGCTTTTATTCAGTTTTAATGGCTTTGGCTATAGGGCCGGACCAACTCTTGGGAAAGCGGTATCAACTTTCAGCTTTGCCAGAGGTTTCCTTATTGTTAGCTCATAGACTAAGGATGAAAAGGATGTGCTATTTTCTGGGCTTTGCATTTAAATTTTTTTCCATGCAATTACACTCTTTAAGTCAACACTTGGCTGCAGGCAGAGCTACAGGTACAAGGTGCAACTGTAATTCCAATAGTCTCTTTTAATTCATGTTGTACTTAGCAAAACTTATCATTGCGGCATATGTATTTTTAATATTTCTCCCCTTTGCCCCTAACAGTGTGGAACCTGGAGAGTGGGAAATGTCTCAAGACTCTGAAGCACAACAGTGCTGTTTGGGTAGTTAAAATGGATGGCACCCGTGTTGTCAGCGGGTGTGACCGAGGGCTGGTGAAAGTCTGGTGTGCTGATAAGGGCACTCTGATCAAAGTAAGTTTCTTCTTAGGTGGATAATTTTGTGCTAAATTGTCAAGTCTTCTGTGCTAGTTTATCATAGCTTTTTGCTTTTGCCAAAGATTTTCTAAAAAAAAAACAAACAAACAAACAAAAAAACATCCCCCCCCAACCCCGAAAGCAGTCTAAACTGATAGAAGAAACTGCAGAATTATTTGTTAGCAAATAATATTAAAAGCTGACTTGCAAACAACTATCGATTTTAACCCAGGGTTTGATTTGCCTTGCTTAACCCCCATCATTACTTGTTCTCTGCAGATACGTTCATCTCTGCTCCTGTAGAAACGTTCAGAACCTGGGAAGAGGGTGGAAGGGCTTGACTAACAGCTCTCGGGGTTGGAGGTATCATGTGTTAGTCCAAAATATGAAACCTGCTCTCAGAACTGGTAACAGTTTATAGAGCTGAAGCAGCTGGATAGCTGCTCTGCAATTTAGAGATTGAGGCCAGAGCCTGGTAATTACCTTAGCGGGTGTCCAGAATTAGTATTAGTCCATATCTGAGAGGAGCGAAGCTCTTTCTACCTGTGGGGAAGACAGCTGCAAATTGAGATGCATCTCAGATGCAAGATATCCCAGCTCCAGCTGAGCTAAGTTTGCAATTGCCCCTTCCACTGTAGTCAGGGCAGTCCACTCTTCTCTCCTGGGTGAATGTTCGATAGATGACAAAGGTCTTGGTGCGGTAACATCTCTTTAGCGCACGTAATAAAGATGGAAAATGGATGTTAATTCCGTGCCATCAGCAACAAGCCCAGAATATTTCTTATAAGTGACTATAAAACCAACACAGTTATCCATAGGGTGTATTGGTGTACTATAATAACTCCCGATAAAACTACCGTATAGTATATGAGGCTGGTATTGTGAATGCCGTAAGATATCTTGGCGTATATACATCCGGACTGCTGACAGTGTTGCACCTATTTCTTTTACTTTGCAGACATTAGAGGGGCACCAAGGCCCAGTTAAGTGCTTGTCGTTTGACCAGTGGCACCTGGTGACAGGAAGCACCGATGGATACGCCCTGGGATGGAGCATGTTGGGAAACCTCAAGAGATGCCTAATAGCTTACCGCCACCCTAAGTAGGAATCGGATGTGTTTCAAGTTGTATTCAACAGTCCACTAAATCTGTAAAGAAAATGTCTCCCTTACAGGAATGCAAAATGCCTTAATTATCAGCCTTAGGATTTGAAATATCCCCACTTTCAACAATCTTCGTCTTTAAAACAGTGTCAGGCACTACGTGGTCGCAACCAGTGTTTGTCGGTTAAGACCTACAACAACCTAAAATGCAAATAGGCAACCGCTTGTTCACAAACAGGGATGACTTAAGACTGACAGGGCATAGTCCAATATTTCAAGGATCCCAACCCGTATGCAAGAGCGTATCGTGCTACCTTTTGACCAGGTAGACTGTCTACGATACTGTCTAGGTCAGAGGTGGCTGAGTTAATGCTGAACCCTACCAACTGTATATTATGTTATTTTCTAATACTTTGATTATTAGAACTGTGAAAACTGTAGCATCATGCTATTTTCATTTACTTTCCTAGACATAAAAATGAAATTTAAAACGCAGCAGGTGGCCATAACCACACTGGTTGCTCTGAGGATGCACTGCGTTGGCTTGTTTGGACACGGAGTGATTATGAAGGACTTCACTACTAGGCCTTTTAAATATCTCAATGAGCTTCTTTGTCTAGCCTGTTGATGGAGGCAGACCTTTGCATCTCCTCCAAGACACAAGAAGTAGTTGATCATGTCTCCCTGTGAAAGCGTGATGAATGTACCAACACTGACATGTCGTGTTTTCAGGGAAGTTCTGTCTCTGGAGTTCCTCTATCTCAGAGTCATCAGCGGCTGTGCCGATGGAAAGATTCGTATATTTAACTACCTGACTGGAAGCTGCCTGAAAGTGTTGATGGCCAACAGCAGAGGGGACCCCGTATCTTCTTTCTATGTTGGAGAAAACAGGTTGGTGACAACAGCTGCAATCAGCTCCTGAACCAAATTAGGTAGCTTACATTGTAATTTAAATAATCGTGTATTTTTCCTTTTACTGTCCTTCTCGCAAATAAGTTTTAAAGGGCTGTACTGCTTATTGACTGCTTCAATAACTTGGTTTTGTTAACAATGGCTGAAAATAGATTTGCTTAGTTCATTCAGCAATCTAAATCTGGCTTTATACAACTTAGGATATAGTTCTAACTGTAAAGCTGCATTCAGAACCCGAATTTCCTAAGAGGTTGGAGAATCAAGCCAAGGCCTGACAAAGCCTTTACCTGTTCCCTGACCTACTGGCTCTTTATAAAAGCCAATCATGGAAAACCCTTCCAGGTTCCTTCATTTCTGCACCTCTAAACAAAAGGCAGTTCCCAGCTCCTGTGTAAGCAATAGCTAAAACACTGGTGTGTTATTAGTGCTGTTGTGGTTATAACTCTAAAACACAGCAATATATGGACTGCTATGAAGAAAACTAACTCCGTCCCAACCAGACCAGTACACCCCTGTCCTGGTTTCGGCAGGGATGGTGTTAATTTTCATCCCAGTAGCTGGTACAGTGCTTGGATTTAGTATGAGAATAATGTTGATAACACACCGATGTTTTGGTTGTTGCTGAGCAGTGCTGACACTAGTCAAGGACTTTTCAGCTTCCCATGCTCTACCGACTGAGCAGGCTGGGGGTGCACAAGAAGCTGGGAGGGGGCACAGCCAGGACAGCTGACCCCAACTGGCCAAAGGGACATTCCATACCATGGGACGTCATGCTCAGTACATGAACTGGGGGAAAGCTGGCTGGGGGGGCCGCTGCTCGGGGACTGGCTGGGCATCGGTTGGCGGGTGGTCAGAAACTGCATCATGCATCACTTGCTTTGTATGTTATTATTATTTTATTTCAATTATTAAACTGTCTTTATCTCAACCCACGAATCTTCTCACTTTCAGTCTTCCGATTCTCTCCGCCACCCCACCAGGGAGCAGGGGGGGGAGTGAGTGGGCGACTGGGTGGTGCTCAGTTGCCAGCTGAGGTTAAACCATGACACCCTTCTAATTTAGGTTTATATGATCCTAATAAGACGGTATCTCCAGTTTCTTTTGGCAGTGCACCGATTTAGCTCAGTCCACTGTCAGCAATTTTCATCCTGATTATTTTAAAAGTAATTTTGGCAGAGAGCTGAATGACAGGAGCCGCACAGAGCTCATGCAGAGTGTCGGTTAAAATGTACAGCGTCTGACTGATTGGGACTGATTGCTACTGCTTCCTTAAACAAGTGATCTGGACTTCGGATCTGTTTAAGCGCCCTTGGGTTTTGTATTGCACAGAAGCAAATGGGCCCCTTGGGTTGTAACTGCTGTGTTAACGATATCTGTGCTTTTAACCGCTTTTCCTTCCCTTCTCCAGGATGGTGATCAATTCACCAACTAGTCTACTGATGTTCCAGTTTGAGGATGTCAGGTGGGACTATACCTTAGACACTGACCGAGAGATGGTGGGCAAGAAAAGACAGCGCAACGGGACTTCAAGCAGAACACCGCTTCGCCTTCAGCAAACGATTCGCCACGACCTCAGCCAGATGCATCGACTTGCTCTGGAGACACGAGGTGCTGACCAGCTCCTGCTGTCTTGCTGGATCCGCTGCCAGTCACTGAAAGGCTGTGGAGCGTCTCAAAGTACTACGTGCAGCCTCTGTAATACGCCGGCACCATTTTCTAAAATCAGTTAGAAATAGTTTCAAGTACCCACTGCCTTAATCTGAATCAATATAGACTCTCTGCTTTTTTAAAGCGCAGTCTGGTAGATGTGCTGTTGCATTTCAATAGTTCTGTCATTTCCAGGCTTTTGCAAAACCATTGTACCTTTTTAGAAAGGTTTGGTATAAATTCAACACGATTGTCAAGACAGGCACTGTCCCTTTCTAACCGAGTAACAGAGAAATCAGTAGTAGTATTCATGTTCTTACAGCTGGCATGCACGGAAACATGCTGCTGATTCAGTGCTTGAATTATTTATTAGAAAATACTCTAGAAAGTCATAGGACACCTGCATTCAGGGTCTGCCGTCACCGGGAAAAGCAATTGCACGTATGCAGGCACCTTTTAAATTGTAACATTGTGATGTTATTTTTTTAAATCGGCAGTTATTCAATACAGTATGTATCACAAATCTTCCAGCTCTACAATCAATCTGTATATTGGAGATAAACTCATGGGCTAAGAAAGCTTTCATGCTTTTAAGGCCATCAGATGCTAACCTCCTTGATGCAGCTCTACTCGGTAAAAGACGTCCAGTTCGTAGAAACAGGAAACAAATAGGGAGTGCAATATATTTTCATTTTAGTGGCAAAAACCGCATACTTATTTAAAAAATCAACATTTGCTGTCATTTTTGAATTCTGTGAGTTTTTCTGCTAATCAAATATCTTTGGATTATTTCTAATACCTAGACCTTTAGAAGCTGTGATAAGAGGAAAAACAGTAACCAAAGACTTGAAATCCCATCAGTTACCAAGGTTTTATTTAATTAAAGAAAGTTTAACAGAAGCGAAGTTTAGAGATTACTTTCTTCTGTTTTCTAGCTCTCTGCTCCGGACTGATGAAATCCGCAGCTTGCCAGCAACAGCAGCATTTTCTCAAGATCGAAAAGACTTTTCGTATTCAGGCAGAGCAGCAGAAAAAGCTTTTCGTTCCTGGCACCAAACAGTCCCACGCCTCTGCCTCAGAAAAGTCAGCGGGAGCACGTTCT